TTCAGGTCTATTTCTTTACTGTGTAAAATGAAGGGATTTGATTAGATCAGAATTTCTTAATCTGGAGTCCATGAACTTGTTTTGGGGTTTTGTTTTTTGTAATATGCTGCTAATGATAGTTCAACATAATTGGCTTCCTTTGTAATTCTATATATTTTATTTTATGTATTTAAAAACATCATGGAGTCCACAACCTTCAGGTGACTTCTAAAGGGATCCATGAGCAAAAAAAAAGTTAAGAATTCCTTAATAGATGGTCATGACAATCTTATTGAGCTCAAAATCTTATGATTTGAATCTAGACTCTGAGGCTTATGAGCTACATAACTCTGAGTAATTTAGTATCTTTGAGCCTCAGTTTACCCGTCTGTAAAATGAGGATGAAACCTATAGGAAAATCTTTTATAAATGTTAAAGTGCTAAAGAAATGTGAACTCTGTTATTCTTTTCCTAAGGGGAAGAGGGAGACTGGCCAATAAAGGTCTAGCCCAGTGTTCTCTACCTGCTGAATATCCACACAGACCCTGTTTCTAGAAACGGATAATGATAGCTAAGGGAGGCTTCTTGCCCTCAATTCAGAGCATGCCAAGTATTCTGATTATTTTCTGTCTTCTTACCAGGTGCTGATAGGAAGGAGCCTTTTAATTGGCTGCTGAAATGCACCTAAGTGTGCATATAAAAGGCTCCAATGAGGCAACATGCCTTCTTTTTTCATAGAAGTTTTGAGGGAGGAAAAAGAAATTCTTAAGTCTTTGGTGGGATGATCCCTCCATCATCTGTTTGCCATGTGGCCAAGAACCTATGGCATTGCTATTTTGTCTGTCTGTACTATGCTGCTTCTTTCCATGATCAGTATTGTAGATGGAACAGCTCAAGTCACAATTCTATGAGCTTCAAAGGGTTAAAAGAACATCAGAGGTCCAGTAACTAATCCCTAGAAGAATATGCCGGTAGCCATCACAGCTGAACCAGCCATGAAGACTGACCTGTATAGCCCAGCCCAGTAATGAATCAACCCAGCAACTGAGACATTGGGTCCTACAAGCAAGAGAATGACCCCTCCATTTGTTATGCCACACCGAGAAGTGAACTTGATGGGGTAAATGTTGGTCAATTGCCACTTCAAATTTGAATTCACTCTCCCCGAGAACTGAGGTACAGGGGGCAAATTTGAGAAAGGGGAGAGGATGTTTTGTTGCAAACCTTTTTAAGTTTGAGCTCACTCTCCCAGGAACTGAATGAGTATATAAGGGGTTTGTACTTCTGTTCTTGCTATCATTTGTCAGTAAATTTCTCCTCGTGAAAGCTGATTTTAATTAATTAATGTTAAGAAAGCAAATGGTCAAATTGATCTTGGTGAGACAATAACTGTCACCGGTTAAAAATATTGAGTAGAATGCACTGGAAGGCCTAAAAGCAACAGTATTAAATGATGTCCCATTCCCTCGGGGGAGGCTGGGAGAATGAGCCCAGAGTCTATTTATTCTATATTATCAATCAAGAGAACTGGACAAATTACCATGCTAAAACAAAAACCCCTTCAAGTCACTGCAGAAGATCATAGATGGGAGATCTAGATGGAAGGCCATCAAGTCTATCTCCCTAATTTTACAGATGAGGTTAAGTCACAGAGAGGTTAAGTGATTTGCCCAGTGTCACACAGCAAGTAAGTGCATAAGGTAGTATTTGAATTAAGGTCTTTCTAACTCCAGGGGAAGTCTTCTTGTTTTCTCACCCCTTCCTAGGATTAGAAGCTTTATGATATTGCCTCCTTTTCTGTGCCAGTCATCTGGAATGTTCCTTCAAGTTTATCTTTTAGGTCCCTAACTTCCCATTTGTCCAGCCCTTTTCTCTTCAGCTAACCCTTTTGCAGTCTCTGATAACTTCCTCCATCTATCAAAACAGAAGAGGTTCTAAGATCAGTCACTAACGCTTTTGATATTAGCACAGTGCCTGGCACATAATAAATTTTACTGAATTGTCTGATAACTGATATAGGATAAAAACTAGACCTGTAATTGAGGCAAGACAAGTGGACAGAGTCAGAATGATCTGAGTTCAAATCTTGCCTCAAACTGTTACTAGCTGTGTGATCATAGGCAAGTGACTTAACCTCTTTCAGCCTCAGTTTCCTCCTTTTTAAAATGATTATCACAAAAACACCTAATTCACAGGGTTGTTCTGAGGATCAAATAAAATGACATATATATATAATTATGCAAACTTACAGTGCTATATAAATGTTATCTATTTTATTTTATGGTATAGGTATTATTTTATGGTATAAGAGAACTCCCTAGTGAAAAAACTCCATCTACCAATGGAGGTTGGCACCTTTTCTGCAACTTATAATCTCAGAGAGTTGTCTAGAGCACCGACAGGTTAAGTGACTTGCCGAGGGTCACACATCAATATGGGTTAATGACTTGAACCCCAGTTTCCCTGGCTCTAAAGCCAGCTCTCTACCCATTATGATAAATGTGTAATGGCAGGTGCCTATAACACTGATGGGGGGAGGATTTCTGGTGCTCAGGAGTTCTGTGCTACAGTGGAATGTGCCAATGAAATTAATTATTTCTCTCATATTAATAACTAATTATTGAATTAGGACTAAGGTTTTTTTTTCCCTTTCCTACTTACTCATTCATATATCAGCCCGTGTAGGTTATTCAGGCAAGTTTTGAAGTGCAGGGCTGAAAGTGAGAGAGAAAACTCAGATGTGTTCAAAAGGTAAAAAAAAAAATTTAGATTAGGTGAATTGGTGGATTCCAGCCCATTGTGTTTTACTCTGACAGGTGTGGGGAAAACTGGATTCTCTCTTTTGTTTAGATTATCCTACATAAGGTGATATGGAAGACTGAGTGACCAGAGTCATATCCCCCAGACCCTCATTAGAATAAGCCCATCTCTCATTATAATATTCATTTTTCTCATTAACTGTTAATCAATAAGTTGATTGCTACCCTGAAGAACACTCACTCTTCCAAGGGCACAAGTGTTGAGTGGGTTCCAAGAGTGGTCTTTGGCATTCAAGAGTGTCACTGACTCCTTTTATTAATTATTGCTGGCATGATTAATAAAATTATTAATTACCCAGAAACTCTGTGTCTCAAAACATTTTATACATCACACCAAGCAAGTATCCAGATTAAATTTAGCCATCAATATTGTGAACCTCTGGGAACAGTTGCCTAAAGAATAAACCAAGGGCATCTAGCTGGCGAAGTGGATAGAGCACTGGCCCTGGAGTCAGGAGGACCTGAGTTCAAATTCAACCTCTGACTCATAACACTCACTAGCTGTGTGACTCTGGGAAAGTCACTTAACCCCAATTCCCTCGCCCCCCTTCAAAAAAAGAAAAGAGTAAACCAGCCAATGTAGGAGGGTTATAATTAAGCAAATGAGTTTCAGTGCTGACCTCCTAATTACTGAAGGAAAATCTTTGTCCTTTCTAAAGGAAATTGAAGCACCATCAAGGTAGTTATTGGGGGAGGAAAGTAGTCTTTCAGATCATAAGTCTGTGATCACCTGGCTAGGGCTGTTGATGACTGTTGCTGGGTGTATGGAGGGAAAAGGCTTTTGTCTCCTGTCACCAGTTTCTTCAAGCATCTGGAACTTACCCCAGGGACATCTAAGGAGTCCCCCTTTCCCTGCCTAAGCACAGATGGGGTTCCATCTTCCACTTTTTCTATCTTGAACTCAATATTTCCATCTACTTTCTGTCAGATGAGTAAGAGGGTCTGAGTCTAGAAAGGACTCAGAAGCTCCTTAATTTTACAGATGAGGAAACTGAGGCCCAAAGAGTGACTTATCCAAGTTCACAGCAGTGGTAAGTAGAACTAGGATTAGAACCCATGTCCTTTGACTCCAGAGCTGGAGTTCTTTCTGCTCTGGTTATTTCACCTCTCTGAGAAGGAATTTCTTCATCTGCAAAATGATGACGTTGGATTACATGAGCTGGAAGGCTCCTTCCATCTTTAAATCTATGATCCCCTGACCAAGCAATCAGTTAACACTTATTAAGTACCTACTACATGCAACTGTGCTACCAGTCCTCCTAATTAAAGAGCTTACATTCTAAGGGGGAATAGCACACATATATATGGAAATAGATGAAATCAACATATATGAAATAAATACAAAATAGAAACTAAGCAATGGGGCAGGTTCAGGGAGATGCGGCAGCTGGGAAATCAGGAAAGGCTTCATGTATAAGGTGGTTTAAGCTAAGTCTTAAGGGAGAGGAAGGATTACTAATGATCACATGATCCATCCTTCCAACCCTCACATAAGAATCCCTTCCAGAGCACCCTGGAGAATGGTCATGGATCTCTGGCTTGACTTATTTTACTGCTGGCTTCATTCAAAACAGCTCGTTATAGTTTTGGACCATGTTGCTCTAACTGTGGAAACATTCTTCTTTCATATCAAGCCAAAATCTGCCTCCCCATAATGTCTACTTACCACTGGCAGTTCTGTCCTGAGAAGTTATGCAAGAATAAGTTTTCTTCCTGTCCTGCATGCCGGCCCTTCAGATATCTGACCATAGCTATGAGGTCTTCCCACTCAATCTTCACCCCATCCAAATGTTCATTATAGGATGGGATTTCCAGACCCTTCAACATCTTTCTTGAACACATTCTCTAATTTGTCAATGTCCCTCTTAAGATATGGGACTGAGAGCCAACTACAATATTCCATATGTTACAAACTATAATGAGAAATAAGTATCATTTTCCTTGACCTGGATACTAAACTACCATGCTTCCATAAGGTGATTGCATTAGCCTACAGAAATAGTGAGTGTGGGATATCAACTTTTTTTTTTTTAATGTGTTAATTTTGCTGAACCTTTCCCCTTCTTTTTTATTCTTTGTTATAAAGGATGACTCTAGATACAATGGAAAATAAAAGTGAATAAAAAGCAAACATCAATAAAACTTTATTTAAAAGAAATTACATTAGCTTCGTCAAAAGCCAGACCTTAACATTACAGAATCATAGAGTTTTAGAACTGGAGGGCTCTCTGTGTCCACCTGTCACACAACTCATGTCCAAAAGGAATCCCAATTTTAACATATCCTATGAATAGTTGTTCAATCTCTGCTAGAAAACATCCAATGAGGGGAAACGGGAACCTGGTGAAGCACTTCATTCTACCCTTGGGCAGTGCTAATCTATGTCACATTCAGCTGTCAAAGTGATATTCCTAAAACACAGGTCTGACCGCAGCACTTTCATGCTCAGTAATCTTCATTGGCTCCCTATTAATCTAGGCTTATCTTTTTATCTCTAGGTCTACCTTTTTTGGCAGTATGGTGAAACCAATGGATCTCTTATCAGAATAATGTCTTTAAATGCATAAAATAAAATACATAGCATTAGAAAGGAAATCAATTTTATTGAAATATAGATTATCAGACCTAAAAATGCAAGTTCATAGACTCAGGTTTAGAACCCCCACTCCGGATCAAACAAAAATCCTTCTCTGTGACATTTGGCTCAATGGTTAGGCTAAAACAAAATGAAACAAAACTTTCTCTAATCAAGGAAATCATGGTGGCGTAGTGGGGAGACGTTCGATTTGTCCTAAGAGGATGGGTTCAAGTTCCCCTCTGCCTCTTACACTTTTTGTGAACGGGGTTCTTTATCTGTAAAATGAGGAGGTTGGACTACCAGGCAATCGATATCTAAAGAATTACAATGAATCATCTCAGTCTTGGAGAAATGACACAGAAACATACTTCAGTAAACAGTTTGCAGTGGTTACTCGTTAGTTGGGTTTAACCTAAATGTTTTTCTTTGTCACAAGAGGATTGGAGCACATGGTATAAATATCACATGGGTAACAATAAAACTTTTTTTTTTTCAAACACCTCCCCCCATGAAGGATTTGGATTAAATGGCGTCTACAATCCTTTCCAGCTCCAAATTTGTTATCTTATGAACCCTTTGTCTTCCTGTATGGAAGCCTCAAGAGACCTAAAGATCATTAGGAATGTGGAGGTGATGGGAAGGAGGGATTCCCTGGAAAATGGGAATCTTCCGGGATTGTGTTCCAAAATTCAGCTGGTATATCCCGACCCCCTGGCCCAAGCAGTACTCCATAATCCTAACAGTGAAAGGGAAGCCGCTGGAGTTGAGCTAAAAGGAAGTAAGGAGCCGGTGCTGTGCCTACCCTCCCCCTTCCTGACCCAAACGCAGACTTGCACAAGTTCAAGACGCCCGGTTTCCCCACCTGGAAACTGGGGGAGGGGGTGGGTGACTGGCAAGACGCTTGTTGACAGCGGGCAAGGAGCAGTTCTCACCTAGTCCGGGGGACTGCACGCACGGGTCATTTGACCCGCGCTGCGCAGAGGAGTCTCAGGGAGACATTTGGGCCAAGCCCCACCAGAGCTGGCCGCTGCGGTCGGCTGCAGCAGCCCAACAGGCGACCCACGGGCAGGAAGGATGCAGAGCTGAAAGCCAGCGTACGTGCTCCACGTGACCGTGTCGTATAAGACCTAGCTGCCGGGTCCGCTCTCTTCCAGCTGCTTCTCTCGGGTGCCCCCTCGCCCCGGCGCCTGGGCTGCCTGCGCTCCAGAGCCACCGAGTCACTGCCTCCCCAGCAACCTCGACTCCGGCGGCACCATGACAGGTATGTCCGTGGCCAGCCCGGGCGGGGCTCGGGGAAGCCCCTGGGGCCGGCTGGGTCTAGCACTGGGTCTCTCCGTGCGCCCGGGGCGCTTGGCGGTGCATTGAAGCTACTTCGTCTTCTCCACCTCTTTCTGTCCTTCCTTCCTTCTTCCTTCTGTCTCTGCTCTCCTTCCCGGCCTTTCGTTTTCTATTTCGCTTTCCGGGGCCTTGGCTCTTAGGTTTGCGGGGAGCGCGATAGCCCCAAAAGGGGTACGTTGGCTGGAGGGGGGTGTTGGCGGAGAAACTTGGGGTCTGTGGGGACCCCTACCCCAGGCTGTTCTGCTTCGCTTGTCACCCTCCCTCCTCGGGACGGCCTGAGGAGGTGGAGGCTCCCTAGACTGGTTTTGCCGTGTTCCTAGCAAGGTGTCAGAGCACCTTGGAGATCTCGTTTCCCCACCCCCGGCCGGAGGGTGGCCTCCCTTCCTCCTCCGCGGGATCACCCCTTTGCGGCCGCTTTCTCCGGTGCGTCGCCCCCCCCCTTCCCGTTTAAAGGACTGACAGCTGCAGCAGCTGCTGCTGGGGTGGGGTGGGGGTGGGGAGGAACCTCGCCTCCCATCCCCGACATCCCCTCCTCCTGCCCGCGACTAGGACACTGCGGAATTCCCCGGAGCTTCTCTCGTCTCCCCACCAGGGCCCACGGGAAGGAACGTAACTAGTTGCTCCACTGGGAGGAGGCCCCGGGTGCGGCTCTACCGGGGCCGGCTAGGCATTGATGGCATCGCCCTTGGCCCGCGCCTATTTTTAGGCCGGCACTGCAGGGCTGCGGGGAGCCGGGGCAGCCCGCGCGGGCACGAGGTGCCTGGCAGCCAGTCTGCCCTCTGGGAGTAGGTCCCAGGGACCTGGGACTCCCGCTGACCTGACTCGACTCCAGACGCTCTTGCCTTTCGGAAGCCCACTTGTTGCAAATAAGGCCCGGCAAGATGCTGCGTCTGCTCTGAGGTGGGCGTTCAAGGACAGGCTGGGTGCATGGGGAAATGCAGCAGACATGGCCTACGATCCAGTTCTGCCCCTGACCAGGAGCTCTAGTAAATGTGACTGTACGACTGCTCTCCCGGCAGGCAGGGATCCCCGGCCAGGCCGAGGAGGGTCTTCACCAGTGGTCCATTAACTGGTTTTTAAAAATGTATTTTAACAGCAGTGTTTCATATAGTTGGTTTCTTAGTTATAACCCTATAGTTGTAATCCTGTGCATTTTATCCATTTAAAAACATTACCCTGAGAAGAGTCCATAGGCTTCACCGGACTGCGGAGGGGTCCGTGATACACAGAAAGGTCAAGAATCCCTGACCCACAGCAATTGCATTCCCTCTCCAGAGCCTATCCCGAATAAAATGAGAGTCAGGTGTCTTCATTTTGAATCCCGGCTCTGCTGTTTGCCAGTGTAACCATACACAAGTCACTGGATTTGCCTAGGCCTCGGGAAAATGGAAGCATTGATCTTTAAAATTCCTTCTAGCTCCAAATCCTCCGATCAATCACCTCCTACCTTTCCCATCACACTTTCTGCCAGAAATCTCTGTAAACTCTAGGACCTTTGTCCTCACTCTTCCTCCTTATCCTTTTTCTGACCTTTGAATCACATTTATCTTGGTGATTTTCTTGTATCATTCTTTTGAATGGTTGGATATAACAGATGAACAAGTCTTGCATCCCAGTGTTACACCTCTCCTAGGAATTACACAGTGTCTAACTGCTGGATATTTTGAAGGGTTATTTAACAATAGAGACTAGAATGGGGCTCCTGTTAAGAGGCCAGCCAGTCACCTAAATTCTGGGGCTCACTATGAACCTGGGACCACCGATAGGCTCATAAGGTTTCCAACTGAAAAGGGACCTGAGAGACCGTGTAATCCAACCTCTTCATTCTGCAGATCTTGCAACTGAATGAGACCAGGAGAAGATTGTCCTCAAAGATACGTATGTGTCCTTTGAGACCAAGGATTGGCGATTCCTGGAGGACTGGGGAGTGGGAGGAGGAGAACCATGTATAACTCATGGATTTTTAAAATTAGAACTGTGATTTCATTGGTGGAAGGACCCCCTAACCAATACAAATCCTTAATCCCCCCCTCACCCACCCAAGGCAATGTACAGTCTTTGAGAGCTGCCTCGAGGCACTGGCAGTGACTGACCTAGAGGCATACAGCCTGGATGTTTCTGAGGCAGGGCTTTGAATCCTGTTTGAATTTGAGGTCAGCTGTCTAAACACTACTCCATTCTACCTCTCATGGGGCAGAGGAATGAAAACAAGACAGAACAATGACAAAGGGCCTGGCACTTATCATTTTCTGGCTGTAAGAAAGAGAGATAAAGATAGTTGAATAATAGATAGAGAGACCATCTAATTCCAGCCTTTCATTTTACAGGCAAGGAAACTGAAGCCGGGAGAGTTAAGCGATTTGGCCACTGGCCACACCAGTAGCAAGTATTGGAGCTAAGATCCGAACCTACCTCCTGACTTCTAATTCAACAGACTTTCCGTTAGACCCCTTCCGCTTTCTTGATAACATACTCAGGGACATGACATTCTTCTTCCCTTGGTCCCAGCTCTCCCGTGGGTCCAACAATTTGTTGGCTTAACCACCTTCCTTCCCCTCCTTTCCATAGTTTCACAATTATCAACCCTCCTGGTTGAAAACTGGTTAAAGGTATACGAGGAAACCCAGGAGGACTTCCTGAGGCAACAAAGACCTAGCTCACTGCTAGGGAGACGGTGTCTAGTGTCAGTCAATGCTAGGATACTTAAGTATCCTCTGTATTTTGTTTAAATATTTCTTATTAGTTAAGCTTATTAACTAGCTTTCTACAATTCTCTGAAAGGGACTGGCCTTTTAATATTGGAAAGGTGACATACTCCCAAGAGGCCCAGGGTATGAGGTGCAGTTAGCAGCCTAGTTGAACTCAGTCACCAGTGGGAACCCAGATGGTCTGTGGGCTTTCACAACTACAGCGACTCAGTGGGGAAAACATTCCTTGGTTGTCCTGGCTCCCATTTTAACAACTAAAGAGACAGAAGCTTCCTGCAATCTTTGCAAACTTACTAGGAATTGTATGTGAGACTGCATGTTTCTATAAAGAAAAATCAAGGAGTGGGATTTGCCCCTCAGGGTCATTTTTTGAGGGAGAATAGTTTGAATGTTTTGAGAACTGGTCAAATAAAATCAATTTAGGTGTGTTATGGGACCCTAGCTTTAGACTTGGAAGAGGGCCCTTAGCAGCCTAGGGAAGGGCAGCATAATGTGATCAAGCAAATCTGCCTCAGACACTGGCTGGAGCTCTTTGACCCTAGACAAGATATTCAGTCTCTCTGAGCCTCAGTTTCCTCATCTGAAAAATGAAAGGAGTAGATGAGATGGCCTCTTAGATCCCTTCCAGGGCTAAATCTATGGGCACTCCTCCCATTTTACAGATGAGGCAACTGAGGCCCAGAGAGGTTAAGTAACTAGCTCTAGTATCTTGCAAAGAGTTAACAGCCAAGGTTTGAACCTGGATCTTCCGACTCCCACTGCAAAGCATTTTTCCGTGTACACAGTTCATTCTGTCTCTACAAACTCTGATTTTCAGCATAGAGTTGGCTACATGCCCGTGCATTTAAACTAAAAGCTACAAATCAGATTAAAGGCTCAAGTACTATTCTCAGATCATCTAGATTCCTGTTGGCAGTTGTATTTAGACTTGGCTTTTCATCTACTTGAAGCCACCTTGTTAGGGAAACTGAACACACTTACTATGTGATCACTTCATTACTTTTAATTAATTTGCAGATGTTGGCATTCCCCTGGGTATTAAGCCAGTAGTATTTTTCCTGAGGCTTTCTAATGTGGTACAGATTAGGCATTAGAAGACCTGGGTTCAAATCCTAAATTTTTGCTCTGTGTCACTTTGAATAAGGCGTTAAATGTCCCTGGGCTTCAGTTTCCTCATCAATAAAATGGGAGCGTTATACTAAATGGCTACAATAAGAATAGGGGTTAAACCTTAAGTTTAATAGTGATCTTTTCCTTGGTTAGTCACCCTACTAAGTGTGACCCAGGCTACTCTGCTAACTGCTTATGTCTTCTTTGTCCAGAAGCAAATGTGATCTCAGATTTGCTGCTTTTGCTAAAGGACATGAAAATAGTTTGACTTTGGCAAGAGGGGACTTCCCTGCACCTTCTCCCTCCCAAAAAGTGTACTTGATCTTAGCCAAAGGGCCAAGAGAAGCAATTAGCAATAACCCCCCACTACCCCCACTACCACCAAAGGGAACAGACTGTTCTGTCTTTTTTTTTTCCTCCTGATTCTGGGATCCTGTAATCAGTGTCATCTCTCTTTTTCCATTAAGATCAGTCTTTTGTGACTTTGTCAACAAATGACTCCTACGCTAGAGGAGCATTAGTGCTCGGCTCCTCACTGAAACAACACAGAACGATAAAAAGGTTAACCGTGCTGATAACCCCGCAGGTCTCCGAGTCTATGAGGTAAGACATTCCTTCTATTTGTGACTTGTCCTTGATGGTTAAATTTCTGGCCTCTTTGGCATGCAGACCAGCTACTTTTCAGGAACTAACTTATCAGTGCATAGAAAGTTTGGCTTCTACTCGAGGCAGCCTGGTAGAGTGGATAGCATGTTGGACTGGTCACCTCACCTTTCTGTAAAATGAGGATAATAATGCCCCAGTACTTAGCTCAGAAGGTTGTTGTGAGGCTCAAGCACTATATAAGGGCTTCTTACTCACCTAGCACACATATAGTCATCTATTAGTATTAGAAAGGATTTTGTAACTCAAACTCTTTTTGCTAGATTGCTTTCTACAAGTCTTCCTCATCCCCATTCTTTTGTCCCACAGTGTTTATAAGTCATAAGAAATATAAGTTATATAGAATATAAATATATAAATAAAAGTTATAAGAAATGAAAAGAAAAACTTATGAGCAACATCCCTAAATAAATCCTTTTTAAGAGAGGAGTAAGAGAAAATCATTCCAAAGAAATCAGTCCCTGTTTTTTTGTCAATGTGTGAAGCCAGTTGGTCCCTGGGTAACTAGGCTTTCTCTTAATTGCTTTAGATACTTTAAAACTTTTACCTACAGCTTTACAGAGTCACACTTCTCTTGCCATCCCAAAATGGAATGCCATCTTAACTGGAGTAAGTTGTACTTTTCCCCTATTTTCCCAGGGAAACCTTTCTGGGAACTGTAACCCAAAACAAGGGGCATTATTCCTGGCAGTAGGAATGACACCTTGAACCACTGTAAGGACTATGAAGACCTTTCATTTCCATCACAATCATGATCTGTTCTTAAATGCAGGCAAATAGATGGCTTGGTGGATAGAATGCTGGGCCTGAAATCAGGACACTTACTAGCAGTGTGACCCTGGGCTTAACTCTGTTTGCCTCCATTTCCGCAGTAAAATGAGCAGGAGAAGAAAATAGCAAACCACTTCAGTATCTTTGCTGAGAAAACCCCAAATGGGGTCATAAAGAGTCAGACACAACTCAACATTCTTAAATGCCCTTTATTTGTTTGCAGTTGGGCTAGAGGTTTGCCCATAGCTGAATTATCCCCAACTCCTGGTACCCAGAGGCCACCAGCTGCTTGTACACCTGGCTCGTTCATCTTGATTTAGCTGTAGTTAAAATGGAAATATCTGAATTGGTTCCTTAGGACTTAATATGTTTAAAAAAATAATGAGGCTCACTCTAATAGCTCTGTTTTGTGTTTACGTGCACTTGGGCCCTCTTTTGTGAATTGAACGGGTCCTGTTATGAAATTTCAGAAGTTGAACCCCATGGCAAGAGCACCAGAAAAGAGGGCGTTCTGTAACATATTAGCACCTCTGTTCCTGGGGGTCAGTAGGGTTTGATATCAGAGATGTGGCTTCCCACTGTGTAATCTACTAAAGAAAAGATGTACAAGGAGCTAGCAGGACTGACCAACGCTGGGGCAGAGGGTGCCCATTTGTTGGCTTATTTTTGCTAATTATGGGGTGAACCAGAAAATGCTTCTTTCTCCCAACTTTGGGAATCGTTTCGACGTTTACTGCAGTGCAGTTAAGGTAAGGGGATGGATTGGAAAGAGCCTTGGAGCAGCAGTTCGGAAGCCTCAGTTCTAGTACCAACTTAGCCTCTAATTAACTGACTCTATCATCTTGAGCAAGTCATTTGCCCTCTGAGTCTCTCTTTCCTCCTCTCTGAAGTGACCTAGTGGTCAACCTCTCCCAGATAATTTCTAAAATCCTTTCCAGCAAAGACACCCAGAATTTTAGAGTTGAAAGGAACTTCAGTGGCCCATCACAAAATACCTGACAAATGGTTGTTCAGCCTCTACTTGAAGGAAGAAAATCCCTGCCACCTGGCAGTGATGTCTAGTGGAAAGATCCCTAACATTCCAGCAAGGGGCAGTTGAGAGGATCTGGGTTCCGATCCTGCCTCTCTGTCACTTACTCCCTGTCTGACCTCGGACAAGTCACCTAACCAATCTGGGCCTCAGTTTCCTCATCTGTCAAATGAAAAGGTTGGACTCAGTACCAGCTCTAAATCTGTGATATGAGGATATCCTGAGCCAGCCCATTTTACTTATGCGGAACTCTAGTTCTTAGAATTATGCAGACATGAAGCCTAAATTTTAAAAATTATTTTACTTATTTAATTACCAAATCTCTTTTTTTTTCCTCCCTTCTTACCCCTTTGAAAAAGAAAAAAGAGAGATGGAAGAACAAGCCTCAATTTGTCTTTTTGTAGCTCTCACTTGCTCGCTGCCAGTTCTACCCTCTGGGGCTAACCAGAGCAGGTCTAATCCCTATTGTGGTGAGGCTTCCAATATTTGAAAATAGATAGCATGTCTCCTACAAGGCTTCTCTTCTAGCTCAATTCTGTGGACTTAATTCTTTCAATATTCTAGATATTGGGATTTTCTTTTTGTTTAATTTTTGTGGTTGGTCCTGACCTGTGGTTTTTTTTTTTTGTTGTTGTTGTTTTTGTTTTTTATCATTGTGAGGAATGTCTGGTATGGAAACTCATTCTACCACTGCAGATCAGTAGTCCATCTGTAACTTAGTTAGGCAACTTGCTGCCTGGGGTGCTGAGAAGTCAAGAGACTTGCCCAAGGTCACACAGTTAGTAGGTGTGGGAGGTGGGACAGGAACCCTGGGCCCATCCTGATTTTCTGTTAGTTTCACTTATGGTCACTTGTCCCTCTCGAGAACTTTGTTAAACTTCCATTGGTTAAGTTTCCGTAATAGTGAGATATGACCATATCCCAGACTTGCTATCCATTGATTAAACGGAGTAATCCCTACGGTGCCTTGTAGTGTAGGGAGAAACACGGCCAATGCTTGTTAAAGTAAGCTGTGTAATTCTGAAACCGACAGCACCAGAAAATTAGACCAATAACTTGGGCTTGCTGACCTCTGAGATTTTTTGGGGTACACAGTTTCATATGTCTAATGTTCATGACTTCTAACTATTTTAGGGGGGAAATGTAATTCTATATAACTCATCTCCTATAGAGTAAGTGAATGGTAGAAGGATCTCAGATTTCAGCAGTGGGAAAGTCCTGGTCTAAGCATGCCCACTTTGATTTAGTAGGTTGGTCAAGAATTTATTTACTAAGTGTGTACTATGCATTACATGCTGGGGATAGATTCAGAGACAATGATGGACAGTTCCTACCCTCAAAGAGCTCCCATTCTATTGGGAAAATAGAACATGGGCACAAATAAGTAAATACAAAATATAGGGATAAGGACTAGACGTGGTTTCATGGGTATATGGAGCTCCCTTTAGCAAAGCAGGTTAGCAACTTCTTGGTAACATACTCTTTGAGAAGTCATGGGACTTGTCTAGGGTCACCTAGCCAGTATGTGTCAGAGGAATACTGGCTATCCTACACACCCATGAGTAATCTTGGGAAGAACATTAACAGCTGGGAGGTGGGTGTGAGGAGGTGGGAGGAAGGAGATGATGAGCTGAGCTGTGAAAAGAGCTAACGCTTCCTAGAGATGGAATACTATATATTAGGAGTTTTTGCTTCCTTATCTCTGATAACAAATTAGCAAGCACTATCTTCTAAGGTCGTGTAATGTTCTGTAGAAGAACAAAACCCAAATGTTTAGTAATACTCTGTATAAGAATGAAAAATTCCCAGAAAGAACATTTTATTACAGGGGAATGCGTGTTTGCAACTGGTTAATAATCATACTTGCAGGTGATTTTTTTGGTTTGCAAATCAGCATGGTAACTAGTATACCAGAATTAAGAAAGAGTAATATCGTGTTATATTGCTGCCATCATAAAGCTGGATGTCAGAGGGGTGTAAGGAAAGACTGTGGCCACACTTCTATTATACATTTTAATAAAATAGCGATTCGAAAGAAACAACAGTTACAATGTGGTTGAAAGGCACAGTTTGCCCTATAGCATGACAGAATAGGTGGCTTAATGGGGGGAAATTGATCAGAGTAATCAATTGAGAGAAAAGGTATAGAAAGTTTATCAGAATAAGCGATTGATTAAAAAAAAAGGCATAATGGATAAGGAAGGGAAGTAGCAATCTTGTGTCACAGTGAGGCTACTAGTTCTGATTTTCTGCTTTTCTAAAGGATGTTGAGCTCTGTGAACTGAATTTTATTTATTTTTGTTAAAATTTTTATTTTATTTTTAATTTTAAAATGATTTAAAAATTTTAACCTTTTTGTTTTTATATTAATTTTATTTTGAACATGTCCCTTTCCTATCTCCTTCCTGACAAGCCATTCCTTATAATAGAAGGAAGAAAAAGAGGAGGGAAAAGCAGTTTGGCAAAATTAACCCACCCAACTGGACTTTATTTTAACAGGAAAGTTTTAGAGAAGATTTTTGACGAAGTCATCATGGTTGACATCTTGGACAGCAGGGATTCAGCTCATCTAACCTTAATGAAGAGACCTGAACTGGGGGTCACGTTAACCAAACTCCACTGCTGGTCTCTAATTCAGTATTCCAAATGTGTGTTCATGGATGCAGATACTCTGGTGAGTCCAGATGCCAATGGTGGCTAAAAAGACTATACATAGTAACTGAGACCTGGTAAGTGTTCAGAGGAATGCAGCTAACAGTGACAGGAAAGGGTGATTAAAACATCAAATGTCAAAATAGACAGAAGGCAGAGGAGCATAACGAGGCCACCTTAAATCTGTCCCTGGGACTTCTGACAAGTGCCACCTTGATGCTGTGGACCCTTAATGTGGGAGGATTGAAGATGATAGATGGGATGGGGAAACTTTCTATAAATGCCCTGTTTTCCTTTTGAATCAGGTACTGACAAATATTGATGAGCTTTTTGAGAGAGAGGAGCTATCAGCAGCACCAGACCCAGGGTGGCCTGACTGTTTCAATTCTGGAGTCTTTGTTTACCGACCTTCCATTGAAACATACAATCAACTGTTGCATATGGCTTCTGAACAAGGCAGCTTTGATGGTATGTATCCTGTTTGATTGGGCATCTGATAAGATGGCTTTTTAATATTCTAGGGAATGACTTAGTGATGTGATGAGAAGAGCAATCACATCTCAAATCCAGCTGAAATCCACTTATTGGGTAGATTATGTTGTCTACCCACCCATTTACCATAGAAGTATCTTGGCTTTAGTTTGTTTGTTTAATTAGAGTCAAGAGAACACAAGCTGGGCTTTGGATGGCTTTCGTTATATCTAAATTCAATCCAAATGGTTTTAGATTCTTAGGGACCTGGCTACCCATTCCACAATTTAAACAGAGACAGACCGTCTCAATCAAGGTGTGCCTTTTCCAATACAGAATGAACTTGAGTTTCTGCAGAAGCATGTAGGAGTCTTAAGAGAACTAATTCTCCACTCCTCAGGAAGGATGATGATTGCTTTGAAGGGTGTGTGTGTATGTGTGACAGACAGACAGAATGACACTCCTAGAGTTGGAAGGGACCTTGAGATCAATTGGTCCAACAACTATCTGAAGCCTCTTTACAACTTCCACAACGCTCTTAGTTATGCCCATACCACAACCACCCACCTAGCCCCCAAATGCATCTAGTCTTGTCTTGGAACTATCTCTTGCATTTAAAAAATATGTTTACCAAGCATCGTGTCAAGCAGCAACTCATCCCAGTGCTTGTCCCCACTGCCCTGGCCTGGTCTTTTATTGACTCCTGCCAATACTGCTGTTGCCAACAGTATCTTGGAGTCTGATTATTTTTCCTCTTCCTGACAAGGAGTTAGTTGTGTTTTGCCTTTACCTTTATGGAGCTAGATGTATAGATCAATCAATCAATGGAACTATGACGACTGGAACTAAGGAGGTGCTACTAAGGAAGGGTAATATTCTTACAGGGGTGACTTCATAGCCTCTTCTGAATCACTCCAATCCTATTTGACAGTTTGCCCATATAGTAGACTTCTGTAAAAGGAGTCAAGATCTTCTGTGGGGTTGAAGTTGGAGGTCGTTGAAGAAGAGTCAGAGTCTATTGCTGGAAATGAAATGACTTTACAAAAGAATCAGATGAGTAATTAAGATAACATGTTAAATGCTTTGCATTAGTTATCATTAGTATGAACCAGGTAGGACTGAAAGCTTCGGATCCTTAAAAGAAGGCTCAGAAGAGAAAGACATGGGGTTTAACTGGATATACTCAAGGAAGCCAGAGGCAGGGTGCTGGGGAAGCCCCTTGACTCCCCACTCTGGACACTAGGGCCAGGATTGATATCTCTAAACTAGGGCACCCCATCAACCCTCTAAAGCTGGAGTGGGGACTAAGACTTCCACAGCAGGGCTAGGAGGTGGCAGCGAGGACATGACCAGAGATGTCATAGTCTTCAGGTAATAGCAGGAAAGAGAAATTCCACAACAGCCTGTCAGCAAAGGCAGCTACCAGGATCCGATGCTCTTAATAGGGTTCCTGGATCCATGATTCAGGGCAACTCAGAAAATTCTAGGAGCAAAGCTGCTCACTCATCTTGGGATGTCCAAGAGAAACTCTGGAATCACAGCAGATCTGGGATCAGCCAATCTTTTATAAGTATGGGAGGAGCCCTGCTCAGAGACCCAATTGGTTTTCCACCTAATGCTCCTGGTCAGGGAGATGCCAATTGGCTAAGAGACTGGAAATTCCTAGGTTTGAAGACTCCAAATATAGAAGTTTCTGGGTATGTGAGGTTTCACAGAGGGGGTCACCAGGCAAGCGTGCAGGGGCATGACTAGGGTATGGATGGAATACAGTACTGGGCAGGTAAAGATTGGACCAGGAAAACCAAAGGTTTTTCTCAGAC